TCGACGGCAAAGGGGCTATCCAAGCCCATCCCCAACAGGACGTCCACCCGAGCAGTTAAGAAGCTGTAGAGAGTTTTTGTGGATTTGAGTGGGAGGGCAGGGGTGCAGAGCTTGGGGGGGAAGTGGTACACTCTCATTGTAAGGGATGACTGCACGAGGTGGAACCGCGTCTACTTCTTGAAAAACAAGTCAGACGCTGCAGAAGCATTCGAGAGATACCTAGCGGAAAACCGAGCAGACGGAGCCCCATCCGAGGTCATGGTCGTGCGATCTGACAACGGAGGAGAGTTTTTCGAGGGAGAGTTCGGAAAGCTGTGCCGCAAGTACTGCATCAAGCAGGAGTTCACCCCCGCATACAGCCCAGAATACAACGGTGTAACTGAGAGAGCACTGGGACTGATCAAGGATGCAGCACTAGCCGCCCGCATTTAAGCGCCGATTCATTACCCCGAAGCGCCGAGCTACCCCTCCCTTTGGGCCGAAGCTACAGCTTGGGCATGCAACGCCCTTAACTGCACCTCCACCACATCCAACCCGGACAAGAAATCGCCGTACGAAATGTGGCACGGGCACCCACCTCCCCCAGAGGCGACGTACCCGTTCCTCAAACCCGCCGTATACAAGGTCAAGCGCACGCACAAGTCAGAGCCGAAAGCAAAAAAGTGTTTTTACCTCGGCCCTGGAATCAACACAAACCGTGATTGCGTGCGCATCCTGAACGAAAAACGCCAAGCGATCACAACTCGCAACTTCACCTGGCAATCTGTGCCCGCCGCCCCGACCGCGCACCCCCAGCCGCTGCCTCCCATTGCAGAGGAGGACGAGGAGCTCACGACTGAGGAGGACGAGGGCGGGGAGGGTGCGTCATGCCACGGTGGAGGGAGAGCGGAGGGAGAACCTGAGGATGGAGGTTTCCACCTTGACACGACGGCAAACCCGGGGCCCGCGGAGCCGCCCGCGCGTGATGCGCCGGCGGCGCCGCCGGCCGCGCCCCAGGAGTCGGGCGCGGGCGACGCTGGCGATGGCGCCCCCTCGAGCAGGGAGGGCGCGAGCGTCGCCCCATCTACCACGTCGACCGGGATGGCCGATGTGGGCGGCGGCGAGGACGACCGTCGCAGCAGCAGCAGCCGCGGTGGCGGCAGCAGCAGCAGCAGCAGCAGCAGCAGCAGCAGCAGCAGCAACAGCAGCGGTAGCGGCAGTGACAGCGGCAGCGACACGGACATCCCGGCCCTCCGCGGGCCCGAGGGACGGAAGCTCGCCCGCTTTGGCGAGCCGGCGGAGCTCACCAGCCGCCGACTCAGGGAGAACCCTCGCCGGAACATGAGGTACGAGTCGTCGCCGTCGCCAACGAGTGCCGAAGGCCTGCTCGCCCGCCATGCGTCGGAGGCGGGGCTGCCCATCCTGCCCATCAACAGCACGACGGAGCACACCCACTGGATGATCGCGTGTGTGGTCGACGTGGTGGAAGAGCTAGAGGCGAGGGCGGTGCAAGCGCTGCTGTGCGAGCGCGCGGAGGAGGCCAACATCGCGCGCCAAGAGGCAGAGGACTTCCTGCTGGGAGCGGAGGACCTCGTGCTCAACTCTCCAGACGCCTTCGCGAGGGCCCTGGCGTCGACCGAGCTGAGTACAGAATCCCCCATAGGCAAGCGTCCGAGTGACGTCGAATCCCCCCCCATGACCGTAGCCGGCGTTAACAAGTCTGTGTACAGAGAGGGATGGGAACAGGCCATGAGGGAAGAGTTTGATGGGCACTTGGGCACGGGAACGTTTTCATTCGTAGACGGTACGCCAGAGGGGCGTAGACCTGTGAGCTCGAAGTGGCGCTTCACTTGGAAGACAAACAAGGAGGGGAAAATTGAGAAGTTCAAAGCGCGTCTGGTCGCTAGGGGGTTTTCGCAAATCCCGAACGTGGACTACTTCCACTCATCCTCCCCTTGCCCATCATCCGCATCCATTAAACTGATGCTTGCGGTAGCCAACGAGAAATCGCTGAAACTCAACCACTGGGATGTCAAGCAGGCGTTTACACACGCTAAGTTGGACGAGGATGTGTTTCTGAGGCTCCCCGCGGGGTGCGGGGAAAAATCCCACAAAGTTGTGAAGGCTGAGCGTGCTATTTACGGCTTGAAGCAGAGCGGCAGGCAGTGGGGGTACCACGCTGCCGATACTCTTGTAGAAAACGGGTTCGAGCAGTGCAAGGCTGACCCGTGCGTCTTCCGCAAGATGAAAGACGATGTCGTGGTGATGATTATCGTGATTTATGTGGATGACATTTTGGTGGCTGGGTCTGATGATGATTGCAAGGAGTTGCTTGATTCCCTCAACAAGGCATTCCCCACCAAAGACCTTGGAGAGTGCGTGTGGTTCGACGGGTGTGCCGTCGAGAGAGACCTAGAGGCTGGGACCCTTAGAATCTCCCAAACCGCGTACATTGACAGCATCGTGAATCGCTTTGATGTGCAGTCGACCTCCTCCATCCCTGCTTCCCCTGGTGTCGATATAGGACCGAAGCGGGATGACGAGAGTGGAGGGGAATGGCCGGTGAGGGAGGCCATCGGCAGCATGATGTGGGTGTCGACGTTCTCGCGCCCGGACATCTCGTTCGCCGTGCGTGCGGTAGCGCGCCATGCCCATGCCCCTGCCGAGAGGCACTGGAAGGCGATCGTGAAGATCCTCGCCTACCTCAAAGAGACGAGGGACCTCGGGATCACCTACGAACGGGGATCGGGGTTGGGGCTGGCGGTGTACGTGGACGCTAGCTACGCCGACGCTGAGGATAGGCGTTCGGTGTCAGGGCTGGCAACAACGGTTGGAGGGACCGTCATCAGCCACGGTAGCAAGACGCAAGCTATCGTATCTTTGTCGTCTACGGAGGCAGAGTACATTGCTGCCGGGGAGGGTGTGAAGGAAGCTTTGTTTGTGCGTGCAGTGCTTTCGTTTATTGCCCCAGAGACCAGTGGCAGCAGCATTCAGGTCCTTGAGGACAATCAGGGGGCTATGGCTTTGGTGCAGAACCCCCTCAGCTCAGCGCGTAGCAAGCACATCGACGTGAGGTACCACTTCATTCGTGGATTGTTCAGGTCGGGGGACATCTCGATCAAGTTTGTGTCGACGTCGGAGCAGCATGCCGACATGCTTACCAAGGCTCTTAGCAAGAGCAGTCTGCAGTACCACCGGCGCAAGTTGATGAATTTGCCGGAGTAGCTAGCAGTTTTAAGCACTTCGGAGCGGCCATGTTTACCATGCGGGAAAGTCGCATTACTGTCGCGGTCTGTGTACCCATGGCAGCAGTAGGGGGCGTTGGGAGACCATCGTCCGGGGGAACGTAGTTCCTTGAGATCTTGTCTTCGCCTTGGCCTTTCTGATACGTGCGGCCGTTGTGCATCCACCGTGATAGCAATGGTTTTTGTGTTGGATAGGGTTTTCTTTGGAGGGGTTTTGCCCGGGGGCCGGGTTTCCCCTCCACCACCGTATGGTTTTTTTATTGATGTATCCGGGGTGTTTTTGCCCCACTGATGGTTAGTCACTCGCGTGAAGAACTAGGGAGGGTGTTCGTGGGTCTACGGACATGGTGGATACATTACCCGTACGTACAAGTGTGACGCAGGTGGTGTAGAACCTTTAAGGTAGGGGTACGGTGATGAAGCACCGGGACCCCCTTTGTTGAGTGCAGCAGCCGTGCCGCTACTCTCTCTCTCTCTCTCTCCTCCTCCTTTCCGAGCACGACAGCGTCCTGGGTACGGGCGTTGTCTCACCGTCTAAAGTTAATACACTACACAAACAAGTCCCGATAAGTACGCGGAGTACGGCCGACAAACACTGCCATGCGGCAGGGCCGACAGTAGGCGGGGGGGGTGAGCCAGAACGCGCTGGTACCCTGGTTGCAGACGATGGGAGGTCCGTGAGGCCTCGCGCTGCACGAACGCCTGGGTCAGTTTCGCCGGCCCCGTTTCACGGTGAAAGAATATTCCGAAGCTCTAATCCTAGGATGCTGCCGAGAAGGATGCCGCCCGTTTTTTTGACGCCACTCAATGAGCCTGTCCAAGTTGGAGCACATTTTTTCACCGCACTCTAAGGCCAGCGCCCAAGATATTACGATACAAATGCGCGCGAGGATAGCTGTATCCGTATCGTATCACATCGTTTTGGCTGGGCCGTGGCTGAACTTGTGGTTTTCGAAAACTTGGTTGCCACGTAGATGTTCGTGAATCGTATTGGTCTCCCGAGGTGAGGGGCATGGTTCGGGTCTTCTGGCCAGTTCCTTTCCTTTGAGCTACCGAGAGAAGGACCATCTCTTCGACCCATCTGATTTGTGTGTTGAAACGAAAGCATGGTTCTGCATACTTCGGCAAATGTTTACTTAGGGTGGGCTTATGGAGTTGTATGTGGACCCCTGTCGCTAGGGAATCAGGATACGGGCACGGACCAGCTGAAGGGGGTGCGGTGTCCCCCACCCCCTCTTGATCAAAGAGTCGTTGCGGTTCACAGTACTTCTCCAGGCCCCCTCGGGCCCTACGGAGATAAGTCAGTTCCCAAAATACAAACGGGTTATACCTGATATAGAGCTGCAGTCAGTCGAACTCCTTCAAAACTCTCCTCTGGTAAAGGGTAGCCGCTTACCGCGTGCGCACTTCAATAAAGGTGACCAAGGAAGAGGCGCGAAGAGGCGAAAGGAAAGATCGAACGACAAGCGAATGCTGAACTCGCAAGGAAAAAGCTAAAATGACAGGAGAGATGAAATTTCGAGCCACTCATTAAAAACAACACCAAACAACATGTGACAAACAAGATGCGATAACTCAATCTTGGGAAATGCCAGATTCGTTCAAGTATCCAATGTGTTCTGCAGCATACATGACAGAATAAAAATAGGTTAGGAATTGACTGAAAACAACCTCAAGAAAACTCAGACCCCGATTTGATGATGCCTTGCGGCGGGAATCCGTGGCCTTGATTGACCATTTGATCTACTCTTGCATCCGCACAGGTCGACGGGCCAGAAATCTCTGTCGATGAAACTCGGAAATTCGGGTGGCCGTGTACCATGACAAGCCGTGTTACACTTTCCATCGTTTGCCGTGTAGAAACTCTCCACCACTCTACTTCTTCAGCAGGAGAGGCTGCGGTGCAGAAAAACACTTGAATTACACTGGCATCTCAACTAAGCATACATACACATCGATTTGAAACCGTCAGTTACGTTGCGTAGCCAATCACCACATCCACCATCCTTTTCGCAAGTCTTGGTCGCCTTGTTCCATACTTTGCCCTCTGGAACCACAAAAGCATACCCAAACCTCTTCTTGATTGGCGCGCCGTGGAGGAGTTTATTTAGCACTTCTCCAGTACTTTTCCACATACTTCCATTTGACAGCCTTCTCCCCCTCTTTAGGCGGCAAGCCTGCAGATTTCATATCAAAAAACTACAAGGTCTTGCTGCCGCTGTCCACTCCGAACGAATCAGCCGGTGCAAAATTCGGGTTTCCGGGCCTATAGAACGTCCCAGTGACGAGCGTATCGGGAAAACTGTTGCCTTCGAATGACTGCTCCTTCACAAAACTCAACCTCAAACCATTCCCCTCGAGTACAGACTCTGTGCTGCTATTTGCACGGCTCAGGATTCTCATGTCAAACCATTGCTGCTCGCTAGCCCCCGATTGTCTTGTGTGCAATAGTTTCAAGCCCAGCCGCGCGCTCACCTGCAACCTTGTCGCCCAAATCGTCGTTTGTGAAAGCAGCCCGGATAAAGCTTGCAAGTGGAGCAAGTTCTTTTTTGGGAAGCTTTCCTAACGTCACATTATGGGCAAACTCACTCGCAAGATCGACACTGAGCTCCTTGAAACCTGTTTCAGGTATAGGCAACAAATGCAAGAGTGCGTCACCACTCCTATCGGTCGAGACCTGGTCAACGTCACCACGCCTACGCGACAGAATCTGTTGCAGCATATTTAGATCCATATTGAAAGCCGCTGACTGTATTTTGAGGCAAGCCTGCTCGAGCTTTTCCGCATCGAAGACTGCCCTGGCCACACGTCCAACCTCACCAAAGCGTTCCCGCACGTCGGTTTCTGGCACATGGGGGAACACAGCTCGCTGACATCCAAATAGCTCATCCAAGCACCACGGAGGCATATAAAATCGACGGGAACCGGGTTGTTTCATAAACTCGTTAACCCTGCTCTTCCTGGGCGACCCTAACACAACCGTTGGAAGACCCGAAAGCTCCTTCGGCCGATCTTCCGGGTCACTCAAAAACCAAGTGTTGCTGGTGTCTTCCAGGTACCCAGCACGAATGAAACCAGAAAGATCTCCTTTGGTCACCCCTTCATCACTGAACCGGTACCAGGTGCCCTTTCTTTCAAGAACGACAGTTTTTCCTCGACAGCGCAACAGGTGCATGAGATAGAAACCAAACTTGGACTTGCCGATGCCGGGAGTGCCTGTCACTACAATTTTGTGCATCGTACCGTAGATAACACATTCCAAGATAAGCTCCGACAGGTACTTGTAACAAGGACGGATGAACAGCTTTGACCCAGCCGAGGCTCGCCCAGGAAAAACGTCCCGTCTGCAAGTTCCAGGGTGTTGTCGGTTACCACTTCTCTTGTGAGCAGGGCGCCGAAATCCGCTAAAGCTTTAGGGACTGCGACGGGCGGACAACCATGTTTTGGGGGCCGCAGAAGAATGAGCGTTGGGTCAAACTGAGAAGAAACAATTTCGCGGCCGTCGACGAAAAGCAACCGGCGCATGGAAGGAAGACAACGGTATCGACGGGCGTTCACCTCTGGCGAATCACAGAACTTCCTCTCACAACTGCATCGACGTCACCAGACATGTCTTTGGCAGACGACTAGCCAAAAAACCAACAACCCGTCAAGCTCGAAAACACATGACAGCACATCGGCAGGACGGAGTGGCCAACGCGGTATTGGCTTTCAGCTCAGTATTTTGCCCCTTTACCCTTCATAAGGTACTTCTTCTCCACAACGAAGTTTAAAACGTGCAAACGAGGTGATCAAAAAACATGTGAGGGAGGGCAACTCCTTTTCGAGCGAAGACTGGGAGGCCTTCGATGTGGCGTGAGACCTGAGGAGCAGCGGCGTGTTCTCGGAAGAAGAGTGGACCACGCAGGGTTGATGGAAACATCTCGGGCATCATCAACAGCGCTCGCCCTACACTGTCTTCAGACCACGCTGCCGCGTTGTCTGCATCCGGAAAGCGGTCAGCAGCAGCAGCAGCAGCTCCGGCGGCGCGCGGGGCCCCGAATCGAGGAAAGAGACAACGAGAGGACGCCAGTAAAGGCTCGCTGAACATCTACAACTCGTTCGCTATTGGCAGCGGGGAACCGATGAGTCGCTGCACACTCTGCAAACTCTGCGATGACTGTCGACGGTTCAGGCGATGATTGAATCACCTTGGAGGGACTGGACAAGCCGTACACCTTCGCGGGCGATGGGGACTCCAGCGACGACGAGGGACCTTCCGAGTCTAGCAACGATGGGTGCGGGGGTGGGAATGACCAGACGGTTGAGGGCGAGGGGGACCACAGCGGCGAGCGAGTGGAGGACGGCGATTCTAGCGACGAAGAAACTCTTGGTAAGTTGAATGCCCACCAGGGTTTTTCACTCCCCTGCTCGGTTGTTGTTGCGTTTCCTGTTGCTGTTGCTTTTGCCCTTGCCGTTGCCGTTAAACATATATTTGCGTAGATGACATATCAGTTTCTGCGGCATTGTCGTTTGTGCCCGTCGTTGCAGAGACGGCCAGTGGCCAGATGGACGAGCTGAGTCTTGTGGACGACGACGACAGCATGGAATCGGACGACGAGATTCACGACATGGAAATTCCGGATGGGTTTCGCATTCAAGCATCTGCACCGGCAGCTCTTGACAGTTCGTTACTGCAGCGTGGAGTACTCGTTCGGCTGGGCATGGGGTGGCTTGGAGGGGTGATCCCTCGGCAGTCTCAGGAGCGCACTCGCCACCTTTACGACTACCGTGTGCATCTCGACCAAGACCAAAGTACGCGCAGCATGAAGCCGCCGTTGGAAATGTACAGAGGAGATCCGAATGCGGTGGTGGGCTCGTGGATCTTGCTTGAGAGGAGCACGGTCGAGCAGGTGGATGGGGGCGGAGCTGCAGCCACGTTGGGCGTTAGTAGAGCGGGAAGGGAATGCAGNGCAGTCTCAGGAGCGCACTCGCCACCTT